AATTATCTGCTCCAGCTTCCCTGCTTACAGCAGTCAGTTACAGCAGGCTTCTCAGGAAAAAATCCAGCTGGGTTTTGAAGATCTCCAAGATTGGATACATGACAATTTCTCTGAGCAACATGATCAACTGTTTAACAGCCTGACAATAAAGCACTTTTTTTCTTACATTTTAATGGAATTTCATGCATTTCAATTTAAGTTCATTAACGCTTCTCCTTTCACTGGGCACCACTGAGAAACACCTTGCTCCACCATCAGGTATTTATACACATTGATAAGATTTCCCTGAGTCCTGGGAAGCAGTTTGATTGGAAAAACAGGCATGAAAGTAAGATTAAAAAAAAAAAAAAAACAAAAAAAACAAGCAAAAACAAACAAACAAACAAACAAACAAAAAAAAAAACAAAAAAAAACAAAAAAAAAAAAAACAAAAACAAACAAAAAAAAAACAAACAAAAAAAAAAAAAAACCAAACCAATTACCTGGAAATTTTAGTTAAAAACTAAAGTTGAAAAAAGAAGCCTATGAATTAAATAAACAGGTTAAAAAATACTCCAAAGGCCCACCAAAAATCTCCAGGTACTTTTCTTAGTTTTTCTCAAAATAGAAATGGTTACTGGTGTTCTGACTACTTATCTGATTCCTGATTTCAATAAGTACAGAAAAAAGATTCAGGTTATTATAGATTTTCCATTACAAATAGGTTGTGAATGAGTGTAATATAAAATCTGATTTTCATTCACACTTAAATGTCCCCTAAGTAGGGTTATTATTGGGGGTAATTTCATTATTTGCTTTCATTAAATTTTTCAAGGCTCAAATATATTTTTATACACACGGGATTTGAATGTCTATGCTAATAACAATCATAATAATAAAAGTAATAATGTAACTGCAAAAACAGTACAAGCCCAAATCTTAAAAAGTAAAATACAGTCATTAATGTAACATTAAATGCCTTTAACCCAGTGAATTATTACCTTTTCTTCCTGTATTCTTTCAGTAGAGATCTGTTATTCTATAGTAACACAGTCTTAACTTTCACATCAAGAATGGAGGTAAACCTAGTAAGAATATAGCATCAACAGAACCAAATTTTTAGCAGTGTAAAATATAGGCTGTGTTTATGAGGATATGGAAATCTTACTGTTAAGACAAAAATATTTTGAAGGCAATCTCTAGAACAATATTATTAGTAAACTATTGTATAAATGACTATGAGCCATTTATTGGTCTTTGCTTCATAAATAACTCTACTTCCAAACCCTAGAGTAAATCTGCAGTAACTGTGATTGTATTTCAAACAGTGAAATTTAGCCAATATAAAAAAAAAGTAAAAATCATGAAAGTATAAAATATTCAACCATATCTTTGTGCAGGAGACATAATCTACTGTCATTGCTTTCCAAATCCTTACTCTTTGACTCACTGTGTTTTTTGCAGATCTGTGTTATGAGAATAGCAGTAATTTCAGATTTGCGTGGTAGATGTCTTAAACCCAAATATTAACAATCTTCTATATTCTGACTCCACAGAGAAATTGTATGAACTTCCCTAAGTATTGACATTTTCAATTTTCTTGAGAGGGCAAAGAATAGTGGCAAGGATGATTTTTTTCCTTCTTCCCTGAAATTCCTTTCAGATGTTCTGTTATACATTTGTCTCCAATTCTGTACATCTGTGATGTAAGTTTAATAGTTGAGTTTCTTTAGATACTTCCACTCTTGGCTGAATACTTTATTTCAGCACCAATAGTGTATGTCATAAATGTTTAACTTAAAAAGTGGAATTTTTTGTGCCAGTGAAGTATTTCAATTACTTCATATGCAGAAAGTGTTTTACAGAATGTGATTTGTAGCGGCGTGTACTGTTGGGACATGTCAGATGATGCTACATGTGTATTCACTAGTGCCCTATTTTTGGAAATTAAAAAAAAATTCTCTCAATTCTGTGCCTTTTATGCATTTTCTTAGCTTCTTGACACTCTGATAGCATTTGAGGTTTTGGAAGAGAGTATTCCACTTCAACATCTTGACTGTGCAAGGATTTGTTTTAAGATACAGTGCGTAAAACCCGAAGAAATTAATTGATACAATTTACATGTGCACTGGGGCTCCCTAATCCTACTGACTTCATGTCATCTCAGATGCCTTCAAGTATTTTAAGTAATGTAAATTTCCTATTTCTTTAATTATCTTTAAAAAAAAAAAAAGTTTAAAATCTGACAAACATCTTCTAGAAAGGGAGTGAAGAACATGGAATTAAACAAAAATTTCCTGAATCCCAGGTTATGAATAAATGAAAAGCAATTCCTTTCCTTAGTTCTACAGAACTGTTTACAAAAAAATACCTCTATTATATTAAAATTGTTTGATCACTCTTCAAAAATAGTCTCCAAATATTTTAGTTATATATTTTTAGAGCACTTTTGTAAGTATTTTTTTTTCTAAAATCTTATTTGATGTGTATCAATTATGTGATAGCAACATCTCAGCTACAAATACTTTAAATGTCAAAAATATGCACTTGATATTCAGTTTTGGTTGAATTGATTTAACATACAGCCACTCACTGTCACATATAGATTGTGTGTAGCGGCATGGTAAAGATCATGTTTTCAGTGTACCCATTTTGGAAGTCAGGCTCACTGTCCAGCTTAGAACAAAAGCCTACCTATTCAAGACAACTAATGTTCAGCCAGTATGCTCTACAAATACACAGAATTTCCTCAGGAGCAAGCATGCCTCATGGTGTCAAAAAAAAGTCAAACACTGCCATCACTTACGGTGATTTTACAGGTGAAAAGCATATAAAGGACTAACACAGTTGCTAAGAGCAGGGTTTGGCTACAGGACTCCACATCTGAAAATGATCAGCATCAGATGTTTATTTAAGTTGTGGCAACAGGGTAGGAAGCCTTGCCATGCACATGCTACATGAGGAAGCTTTGCTAATTAGTTGTAAGTCATGTATGAATCAAGTCTCAATTGTGGCTAGTAGAAAATATAAATATTTCTCTTTTTATCCAGTGCTCTGTTTTGGACCTACTGTGCAGTATCAAGTTGCTTTTGATGTACTGTCAAGATGTGTGAAAATTTAAAACAATCTTCCACAAGAAAACTTCTGTGCTGTCAAATGGTCTCCATCACTTCATCTGCTTTCCAGTCATGTGAGGAGAGAGCTTTTATTGGTTTAGTCTGTCTTTAGGGAATGCAGGATACCTTTCCTGAAAACAATAAAAACAACAAAAATTCCTTGTTGCCACTTTCTGTGTCTCTTCCTCAGCACACTGCTGGTAGAAACTATGCCAACTGTGCTTTTAATGCAGCCATGTCCAATTGTACTGAATGATCCAAAACTCATTTATAATGTGTCTCAAAATCTTATTGAGAGATTAAGTTATATAATTTTGAAATAGCTTTTCCCCCAGAGGGTAAAGGAAAACTTATGCACATTAATATCAGACTTGTCAGCTAAGTATACCTGATAGTTATTAATTCTTTAGCCATACAAAAGTTAAGCTATAGACCTGAGGTGAATAAAAGACTTCTGTTTCAAGAGAGACTCAGGCTGACCTTGGCAGTGCCATTAATCATGAGTACAGCTCAAACAGATTGTATAGCACTGCAGAGACCTTGGAAGGAGAATAAAAGGATATATGCATGTTGGGAACCATAAACCATTGTCTTAGAAAACGTCTATGCCTTAGATCATCAGAAAAAGTCACATAAAATAGTTTTGCAAGACATTTTTCAAGACATAATGCCTTGTGCATACCTGAACTGTCGTCTGCACAGCTACATTTAGTCATGGGTATGTACATAGAGAGTGGACAAAAGTGCTGGTTTATATATTTATTCTGCTACTGTTTAAATTTTGTCAAGAACAAAATTAAGAAAGTGTCCAACCTCAAAAGGTTTTCTCAAATGTTTCCTGTGGGTGTGGCAGTAAAATATGGTGCTATGCTGAAATGTAGCAGATCTTCAATGGAAAAATAACCATATTTATAATAGATATATTTATGGCAACTACAGAGTAACAATCCAACTGCAAAGAAAAGTGGTGTGGAGTTATTTACATGTACTTCTTTAGTGATACTTATAATGGAAAAGGTGTCTTGGTACTGAAAATACAATAATAGTCTTTAAAAACCCTCTCCATTTTCACGTTCTAATAACAGTCTTATTTCAAAAGAAGAGGGAGAGACAAGGGAAATTTCCTTCACATCAAGGAATAGCTGCTTTCATCTTTTTATTGTTTTGGAAAAGTGTAGTATTTGTATGAACATTTTAAATATTCACTGATGTATGCGAAGATCTTTTAATTTTTAATTTGGGCTTTACATCTTCAAAGTGAGCAATAGCATTTTAAATTTAAATTTTCAGTGAAACTTTGGAAGAGGAAATATGATGTCTCAACATACTGTTTTCTTTAAAAAAAAGACAACAAACATAACCCCCAAACACAATGCACACACCCCCCTCCTCCCCCACAGTTCTAGTCATTAGATACTCCAGGAAGTGATCTCCATTTTTTTTCTAAAAGAAGTCAGCATGTTGCTATTGCTTCTTGTCTTAAAGTTCATGTTTGATTTACCATTCAGTTTTGTAACACCATCACAGCAGACAGTTTACCACTTAAATGATAAAAGTTTCAATAGGCACTTTAGTGGAATTACGAAAAAGCTACCACTCTTCCACCATGATGCCAGAAAGCTACCTTCTTTCTAAGTCAGGTCAGTAAACTGCACCTTGTAGGCCTGAGCTTGTCTCAGTGTAATTCCAGAGTAACAAAATAACAACAACAAAAACCTGTGTATGTTACAGGATTTATCATTCTTAAATCAAACCAAAACTGACGGTATGATAAATGTAGTAACTTGCTGGAAACAATTGCTGTCTTTTATAATCAAAGTAATTGTGTCTTATATAAAGCTTAGGTTTATCTTTTAAATTTGTTGTTGGTTTGCTTTTCTTTTTGTTTCTCAGTCGTAGTTGTACTTAAGTGACTTTGTCAGGGTTATAACTTTCTTCTCCAAACATATCTGCCAAGATCTTAAAGCGAGGTCCCCAGTCACTCAGATAGTCATAATCCTGATCTGCCTCTGTAGTGAGGGAGTCTATAGAGCTGAGAGACTCTGCAACAGATCCGTTTCCTTCATAAGCATAGGTTGCCAAGGAGTCATAAGGGGGTGCTGAGGGATCTACATCATTTTCCTGCAGCCTTTGATTAATGAAATCTCTTATGTCTGTGTTATCTTCCGCTGGTGGTCTGTGGCGTGTAAAACGCAAGGTGTCTGGTTTTATGTCCCTGCGTATTTTATTATCTTCAATCACTTTGGGATTCCTCAGGGCACCTATGTCAAAAGCCTGGGTGTCCTCTTCTCCACCTCCTTCATCATCATAATGGATAACATTATCTCTGATGTCTTCTTTAGAGGTCATCAGGGTGTCTTTCTTCTTCTGCCTCCGTAGTGCTACATACAGTACCACAATGACTGTAACGAGAGACAACTGAAGTTAAGACATGCAGAGTTATAATTTAGTACTCTGATGACACATGATTATATCTTTCTTTGAAAGCCACAAGCAATCAAAGGGACTTTTGTCCTTAGAAAAGAGCAGTGCTTAACAGTGCTCTAGCCAATGAAAAATTATTTGCTCTTTGACATATGCATCTATCTTTCCTAAGTGCTTGCTGTACTGCTGGAGAAAGTACCAAATAATTTTCCTGCTGACCTGCTTTGCAAATGAATAGAATTGAACTGGTCTTCAGGTTTTTTAGTTCAGAGAAAGAGAGATGTGATTTTTTTTTAAATATTTTCCATAGAAAAATAGAGAAAAGAACCCTAAATTTACACTTTGAAGAATAAAAAACTAAACCAAAACCCAACCCAAAGAGTATTACAGAAAAAAAATATTGGAATTTTGAATAGTAAATAGTTTTACTAATTTCAAATTTGGAATTTTTGAAACACAGAAAAAATAACCCTACTGTATCTTTTTATACAGTACACTTCAGCTTCTTCAGGGATCTGCTTCAAAAAATTACTTGTTATAAGGTTCTGGAGAGAAGAGGGGTCTAGGAGAGCTGGTTGTTTTTCAAGTATTATGTCCTTCAAACTCAACAGTGGTCCAACCTGAGAAGCAGGAAATCAAGAAAAGGCAGCAGGAGGCCTGCACTGATGAATAAGAAGCTCTTGACTAAACTCAGTGATAAAAAAGAGGCATCTAAGAGTTGAAAACAGCGACAGGTGAGCCAGGAGGCATATACAGTGACAGTCAGAACACGCAGGAATGAGGTAAGGAAAGACAAAGCCCACGTGGTGCTGTCTCAGGAGAGTCATTAAGGGCAGCAAGAGGGGCTTGTACAAGTAAGACAGAAAGAAAGGGTAGAAAGGTAGAGTAAAGGTGGGCCCACTGCTGAGTGGGGCAAGGGAGCAGCTGCCAAATTACATGGAAAAGGCCAACTTAGTCAGCACTTCTTTGACTCTGTCTTTTTTTGTAAAGTTGTCCTTCAGTAATTCCATGTCTTTCAGATGCGAGGGAAAGTCTGGAATAAGAAAGACCTAATCCTTGGTGGAAGAGGATCAGGTTAGAGAATACTTGAACAAACTGGACACACAAGTGCACGGGATATGGTGAGATACACGCATGAATGAAGAAGAAGTTGTCACTCCTATCTTCAATTAGGGCAAGAAAAATGAGCTAGGGAACTAGAGTCTCACCTTGATTTTTAGGAAAGTGATGGAGAAAATAAGAGGAGGTGTAATAGCAACAGGCATGGATTTATGAAGGTGTAATTGTGCTTAACTAACTCAATAGCCTTCTACAATAAGGTGACTGGTTCATGAAGGGAGAAGAATTTTATCCTAACTCTAGCAAAGCTTTTGATACTATCTTTCATAACAATCTTCTCAGAAAACCTGAGAAAGTGTGGACTATACAAGCAGATGGTGAGGTGGATTGCAAAGCTGCCAAACTGCCAGCCTGTAAAGCTTGTGAGCAATATTTCAAAGTCCAGATGGAGGTCAGTCTCTAGTAAAGTACCACAGTCCCAGATAGTGGGACTAGTTTTATTTAATATTTTCATAAATAGCCTGGATGGTGGGATTGAGTGTACCCTCAGCAAGTTTACAGCAATAAAAAAGAGGGGTTGTGCCACTGTTCAAAGCCATTTCATTAGGCTGAGGGAGTGGGCCAAAAGGAATTCCATGATGTTCAACAAATAGAAATTCGAAGTCCCACACACAGAGAGGAGTAACTGCCTACTGTAGTTGCTGTTGGCCAACTGACCAGAAAACAGCTTGATGGATGAGGCCTTGCTATCCTGTTGGACAAGAAGCTGACCATGGGCCATCAATGTCCCCTTGTGTCAAAAAAGATCAACAGCATTTGGGACTGCATTAGGAGAAACATTGCTAGCAGGTCTAGTGAGATGGTCATTGCCCTCTGCTCAGCTCTGCTTATGCACACTCAGAGTTCTGGGCCCAGTGCTGGGCTCCTCATTAAAAGACAGACATGGACTCCCTGAAGTGGGTCCAATGTAGAACCACAAAGACGATTAAGGGATGGGATCATCTGCCACACAAGGAGAGGGTAAGAGAGCCAGGTCTGCTCATTCTGGGGAAGATGCAGGGGGACCTTATCAATGTGAATAAATACATAATGGACAGAACTAAACATAGAGCCAGGCTTTTCTGAGGGTTGTCCTGTCACAGGAAAAGAGGCAGTGGGCACAAAATGAAATGTGGAAAATTCCATTAAAATGTTAGAAAAAAAGTCTTCTTTATCACCAGGATGTCAAGTAGAGGAATATGTTGCCCAGAGAAGTTGTGGGGTATCCATCCTGTTCTAACTGGAATTGTGGCAAAGGAGAGAGCATTCTCCTTCCTTGAAAAAAAACCTAACATAAGTTATTTTCTCTAGTCGGTTTTTGGTTTTGTTTTAAATTCTTCAGAGTGAGTGTATTTGTAAATACAACTGCAACTCCATGGGAAGTGTGACCGTTTGCCATTCTTGTTCTGATTTGAAAACAAAATTTTCTCACAACAAAATTTTTTGACACAGAGCAGAAATCCTGACTTTTACCCACTCTTAATCAGAAGCTATTTTTGTAACCCTGAGCCTTCAGTAATTTACTTAAGTGGCACCTGCATCATCCAAATACAATGAGGTATCCACATTATATTCTATGTCAGGAGCTATTTTTGCGTCCTCATTAGACTGTCATGGGACCTTGGAAGCCACTAGTATCAAAACTAGGTATAAGCCAGCATCTGTAAGACTTGGTCTGGTTTCTAAAGCCCACATTGTGCCTGTGTAAGCCTTAAAGTTGGGTTTATTTCATTAGCAGTTGCTTCAGGCTATTTTACAAATCAGATGCACTTTGGATATGCTGTAAATAAGACAGTATATAAATATAAAGTAGAACAAATAATAATGCCACCTTATGAAATCAATGCCTGGCTGAAATAAAAAAGTTCTTCCTGTGAAGTTTGATATAGATGTGGCCAGTAAGAGTCTATGTTGCAATTATTTTCTCCTCATCCATTTCTTCATTCTCCTTTTGCTTAAGTGGGCATGAAGAATTAAATAAAAACTCTTACTATGTTCTTACTGCTGTTACTGTCAGTAAGACATGCCTACTTTAGTAATAATCTAAAAAAATTAATCTTTCAAGAAAGATATTTAAAATAATTTCAGAAAAAATTATTTGGGTTTCATTGAAAACTGATTCTCTTAATGCAATAAGATATATTGCATGGATTAGCAGATTCACGGTCATGAGCAATATTTTGGGATACTCTTCTAGAAATTAACAGCCTCACATTTTCCACATGTTTTGTTAAAAACTAGGTGAAGCTAGTGAATAATCAGAGTAAAGCACTTTGCAGGGTTTCATGGGAACTAACCTAGAAGTATAACAATACACAACAAGATTGCAATCAAAGCTCCTGTGCTGAGGCCAACTGGTAAGAAGATTGCTTCCACGTTGCAAGACTGGATGGTGCCATCAGAATCACATCTGCAAACACGGATAGTCAAAGTGTTTGTGCTGCTCTGGATAGGGTAACTGCTGTCTTCAATTACTACTGGAAGAAAGTAAAGCTCTTGCTGCCTTCTGCTGTAGCCATTTCTCCTGGTTTCAATCCCAGCTGTGTTATCTGTAAAACATGACAGTCATTAGCAGATTTTTATTGTGTACTTCACTCCATATTTTAGCTTGATACACCTTCAGTAACAGGCTGGTATTTAATATTTGAAACTTGGTGAATGACATGCATTATGTAATTGCCTTGCTTTGCCATTACAGAAAGTATCGTATTCTGACTGGTACAGTTATTCATTGCAGAGCCTTAAACAATATTCCTTTTCCTGTAAACCTTTTTAACAGCTGAAATTTCAAAGAAGATAAAAGTAATTAAAAAAACACAAACAAAACATTACAAGTGTGATTCTGAAGACTTTTCAGGTTTTTTTCACTGGGTCTCCTTGCATTTTAAGCCTGTGGTTCAAAGGATTTTGATTGCATATGAATTTAGACTCATAGCTCTATCAACTAATTAATTACCTAAAAAATACAAAGTAATATACCTGGACAATATAAAATAATTTTATCTTTCCTGATCCATTAAAAATAACTAAAGAAATGCACTAAGTACTAAAAAATCAGTACTTTCCATCAATTAGTCCACTTCTAGACTGTCATTTCTTCCCAGTTAGTTATTGCTGCTTTTCCTGAATCAAACAAAACAGCAAGGAAATGATGTAAAGATTAAAATAATTACATTAAAATTTGGAAAGGAATTAATGAGATGACAGAACTAAATGAAAGTAACCTGCTGCAATTACCATTTTTTCATCTCACCTACATGCTTTATTATATTTTTTAAAAGAGGTCATATGATGGTTTTTATGCCCCAGAGGTTTGTTATGAGGTGGAAGGATTAAGGCCTCTGAACTTCTCACTCATATACTGGTATGGAGTTCTGACTAAGGACAATAAGAAGGAACTCTAATTATCCAAAATTAGGTATGTTATGATTAGACACCACTGAGACAGTGCATAGCTAAAAAACTGCTTCAGACACCTCCTTTTCATCAAACTCAAACTTGGACGGGTCAAGTTCAGTTACACTTTGTTTTGAAAAGGAAAAATGTCTCAGAATAGTGTGAATGAAACTAGCTTCCATCTTCAGCTCTTTCTCTCTATGATTACCGGCATGGTGTAATAAGTTTAACTAATTTGAAGACATTCAGTTGAATCTTATTTCTGTTATTTTTTCCATATTTCTATTATTAGAATTATTTGTATTCTATTTTTTCTTCTAAGTGAAACACTGAAGATCACTTTAATAGCCTACAATGCAACTAAATGACTTTTCATCCTCCTTTGAGAAAAATCAATCAGATCAACCTGTTAACTCCTTGATTTTGAACACTTTTTGTTGCTCTTTTATGACCCCTTTCAATTGTTCAAAGTTCTTTTGAGAATATGAACACAGGCGGGTGTTTGAACTCTACACAGAAGAACCTAAAGAAGCTGAGATAGCTTCTGCTTCTTCAATCTGTTGGCAATAAATTAATTTATAGGATATGTGTGAGAAAAAGTAATTCTGTCTCTTACATGAGCAATGGAGTGTACTCCACATGGAAGCTGCCCTCTAGAGAGCAGAGTGAGGCCAGCAAAGCAGGAAGAGGGAGATCTGTAGTCCCTCTGGAAGCACTCCAGCTCTGCCAGGGCATCACTTCTATTAACACAGTGGATTGATCTCAGTGCTGCTGAAAGGCAACCTTGAACTTCTGTCTCGCTCCAGTCCTCATTAAGTTATATTCTGAAGTTTGGGGCCTGGCTTCTCTTGAGTGCAGCACAAGAATACCTGCTGAAGTTACACCTGCTGAAGTATCAGACAACCCATGATTTTCAGTTGTACAGAATAGCATGGGGATTAGGGCTTCTTGATATATTTAAAAATTTGAAATGCCGCCTTTACTTGTAAAAGCATTAATTGTACTACAGTGAACAACACTGTGTCCTCAAAAAATAGAAAAAAATGTTTTCACATAATACCTGCTTGTTACTAACATAATTGCTAACTTAAAAGAAAATGGTACTTGTTTTTAAAAGGTTTCTTTAGTGAAAATAAGGTTGTGTTACTACATCTCTAAATTGTGCACAGAACAGACCTTCCTCTACATTTTTGGCAAACAAAAGGCAGATGATATTGCAAGACAGGGTTTTTGTTTGGACAGATTTTTTTCTAATATCTCTGCAAATCATCAATAATGAAAAAAAAGTTTTTATGGGATTTTTTTTTCCTTACATTGTAACAAATCACATACTTCTTTTTTATTTTTCTTTTTGTTTCTAAATGTTAAGAAATGCTTTTAAAATTTTTTATCTTGGTGGTTTCCACTTTTCATCGGAATATTGCACTTGTTTTTATACAGTAGCGAAGCTTTATTAACAGATTACTGAGATACAAAGTCATCTCAGTGTCAACATTACTGGTTTAAACACGGAAATTTAATTATCTAATAATATTTGAACAATTTCCTTACCAAACTCACATGCTAAGCACGCTTTACAAAAGCTGTAATTACTGTGTAGACTTACTAAGTTTAAAAATTCTTTTGGTGTATTAAATCTGTTAAAATTACCTGAGAGGACTTCTTTTTAAAGCAGAAGTTTGTGATTATTAAAAAAAAACCCACCAAAACTTGGTGAAGTTTAAGGATATTGTAAAAAACAGACAAGAAAAAAAAATTAATACTCTTACTTTAAAGAAATTTTTACAAAAAAAATTACAGTAATTTAGAAATACATTGTATTTGTGTTCTAAGACTATTTAATTGTGAAGATTCTACACATATGGGCCTTGAACTATGTTCCACAGCAGAGTAATGCCCTAATCTTCCAGGAACAGAAGTAAGGGAACCGGAATCTATTACAAAGTCATCCTTCATATTCATTGAGCTCTCTGTCACAAGAAAACTGTTTGAATGTCCTCTGATAAAATGTGTCAGATCTACATAGTTTTGGTTTTATAAGATACTATTATTCATGTCTACAATATTATGAATGGTTTCACTATATTCTCTATTTGCGAATCCCTAAGTGAAGTTCTTGGCTCATCAGTTCAATCTTTTTAACTATTTATGACACATAAAGATAAAAGTCACTATTTAGTTTGGGAATAAACCATTTTCATTGCATCAGCCTCTCAGGAGAGCTATACATAAAGAGAAAAGGAGCACAGTTTGTTTTTTCAAATTTATTTCTTCTTGGCATTTCTTCAGAACTAATAGTGGTTAGCTTATGTTGTTGGCTTTAGTTTTCTACTACATAACAATGTCAATATTGCATGGCCTCAAAAATTATATGGGCCATATAGATAATTTAAATACATTTTTTAAAGGCCAAAAACATAGGAATTTGCAATTTTATTTCAATTGATGTATTATTCATTTCTAGCACTTTTAAGGGCTTGGGTCACTTAATTTACAAGAAAGGAACCTTTACCTCACAAATGATGTAACCTCAAATTTAAATTGAAAACATCAAATAAAAAATTAAGAATTATATACTTTTTAGATAGTGATACTTACAACCTGCAAAGTTGAATGTTTTTGGACTTTGTTGGATGGCTTAGATATACTTTCTTTGAGGTGTAATTTAAATTTAAATATCATCTAATAGGCTGAATACATATTTTTCTATTATTTAATTAACGTAGTTAGTGATGAAAATTTATTACAGTTTTGGTTTAGCTGTGTCTGTTCACAAGACTACATCCTTGAAGATGCTTGCAGTAGAAATAAAAAGATTGAATTTTTGTCTTGTTTTTTTCTTTGCCACCTAACAAAAGAGTTAAAGTTAATTAGGAGAAAAAAGGATATTAAATTATGACAAAAATTGGAAGAAAAATCAGGGATGTCAGCTGTATAAATTTCCAAGTTATTAAGGGTGTTGTACTTCAGCAGCTCTGTCCATATTTGGAACTCATTCTGCAGGACTATGCATCCTCAAGAAAGCACAATATCTGGGTACTTTGAAAATGGTTAGCAAAGTCATAGTATTTAAACAAGACAGCAATAGTGCCTTGTTTAAAGGTATACCTGCATTGGCATATGGATTCTTCCTGAGATACTGAATGATAAAAGGAAGAAAATAAAACAGGTAGCAGTGTTTTTGAAGGCCTGTAGGGAAATCTCAGCCTTTGGTGTTCTGACAATTCCTGCCCCTAAAAATAAGAAAAGGTGCAAGACCTGAATTTATATTAATGTAAGTCCCAGAGAATTTAGCAATTAGAAATGTCAAAGAAAAATGTTAGGTCTGCAGACACAACTGCAATTGAAAGTAAACATATTTGCCATTGTAACTACAGTCCGCTGCTCTGAAAGAGAGTTATGGGTAACCAACTTACTTCTGTAGTCATGGACTGTGAAGTTTGGTTTGTTGGAAGCCTCAGATGACAGTTTGAAGGAAAATCTTTGCCCAGCTGGTGACAAATCTTTATCTGCTGCAGTGATGATCTGTATCACCTGAAACCAGATTAATTCTGAATCAGTTCACTCTTCCAAAAGCAGCAGTTTTGTAGAAGTGCCAAGTGAGCATCAAATGAAACTATTGAAAGTGACTTCTTGCTGGATTACTGTCATTCCCTTAGAACACTGCACAGTGAAAGCAAGAAGTCTGAATTCTATAACCACCGGAGAACTCAGAAGGTCTTGCTTTGACATATCTGATAAAAATCAGAAAGATTTACTGTACATTCATGGTATTTAATATTTATTGATTGTATTAAAATGCTAGTGATGGTTTTCAGTTGAATGGTTATGCTTCACTTTATCTGCTACCACTTCTGTCACAGATACAACCCTTTAAGGAAAAGATTTGTTCTCCACTCATAGCTATCAGTAAAGGGTGACTCAGGCCTATATAATTGGAGAAATTTAAAAAAAAAATATAGGCTGCAAATTGGCTATAAAAGTCAACAAACAGAATTCCAATATGTATTTCCAACACAAACATTTTGTTTGTAGAAGAATTCTGCCCATAATGTAATTTTTAAACCCAGAAATTTCTACTGCTATAAATAATAAGGAAAGAAAAAGCAAAAGAGCAAGCATCACAAATTTGAAATACCTGTCCTGGCTTGGCATTTTCACAAACAGATGTCTCATATGGAACTGAAATTTCAGGAGGAAACTCGTTGACATCCAAAACATTTATTATAACATTGACTTTGCTGGTTAATAGTGGGTTACCTATAAATAATTTTAAAAGGAAAACATTACATTTTTTGTCATCATCAGTCTCATAAGCTGTCATAAACTTGTGATTTCAGTACTGTGGCTCCCAAAAGCCCTTGACTTCCATTTATTTCTGTTTTGAACTAAGAAGAAAAGAGAACCAAACTTCTTATCAATTTGTATCAGACTTTGATCCATTACTCTTCATGGGTTAAGGAATCAGTCAGGGTGATTATGTTTATCAGAGCATAAATAGAAAAAAAAGTGAAGGTGTACCTGTTATTAAGGATGCAAACTTTTCTCAGATCACCTTTCATTAAGCCTGTGGAAAACACTTTCAATGATTAAAACTGAATTCTGTTTTCCAAAACGAAATGCAGAAAATCAATATTTATGTCTTAGCCATTGTTTAAATCTTCAAAATATTAAGGAGACAAGCACAGCATACCAATTTAGAAGACAGAGAAAGAGAGAAAGATATGGAAAAACAAAATCTTGCTGAAAGCCAGACAGTCAGTGTTATATTCAGCAGTGAAACACACACAGCTGGCATTCAACTATTTGGCCATGTCATGGAAGGTATTTGTTTAAATGTAAAAGTGTTTGCAGGCAGCAAATATTTTTGTGCAAAAAAAAAATGTTAAATAACAGTATACACCGTGTTTCTTTCCATTGTCTTTCCTCTATAGATAATCTTCATCAGTCACTAGATGCATTTTATAAACAAGTTTACTCGCAAATGCAATGTCCGACAAAACAGAGACACTAGTACAATACAAAGCAGATAATGTTCACTTTTACTTTATGCTGAGACCTCCTGCAAAACAGCAAATATGTGAAAAATAGCATAGCTGGTGAGTAAAAATATAATTATTTCATCCTTTTTCATTTAAGATGAGTGGCAGAAACAGTTAACTACTGAATAAATCTATGCTATAAATCAGGGTGTTGTAGGAATGACAACATGGGATAGTGTTTAATTACAAGAGGAGCTGTGTTGAATCTTCAGGAGTAAATCATATAATCATAGAATCATAGAATGGCTTGTGTAGGAAGGTACTTTAAAGATCAGCTAGTTCCAAACCCCCTGCCACATGCAGAGACACCTTCCACTTGACCAGATTGCTCAAAGTCCCTTCCAGCTTGGTCTTGAACACTTCCAGGGATGGGGCACCCAAAACGCCTCTGTGCAACCTGTGCCAGTGGCTCAGCACCCTCACTGTAACAAATTTCTACCTGGAATCCAATCTACATTTACTGTCTTTCAGTTTGAAGCCATTCACCCCTGTCCTGTAATTACATGTTGCTGTCAAATGTCCAGCTTTCTTGTAGGCTCTCTTTAGGTAATAGAAAGTCACAATTAGGTCATTCCAGAGTGTCCTCTTCTCCAGGCCATAAAAGCTCAATTGTCTCAGTCTGTTTTCATAGGAGACATGCTCCAACACTGATTATCTTCATGGCCCTCAATGGACCGCTCAAATTATTTGCATCGGACACTTGCTTTGCCCTTTGCTGCGTTAGTTATGAACAAAAGAAATGCCAAGGATTATACAAACTGCAAAGTTTCTTCATGTTGTCACTATAAAAAATTTGCATGCTTTCTTCCTTATTCTTTGGAACTACTAAATGCAGGAGTAGTTTCAGGAGACCTCTGTCGAAACCAAAGGTACTCCCCAATTATTTCCCAAGTTTCACAGGACTAGCTGCAAGATGAACTTTGTTTTACCTATTTACGAGTAGTAGATAAACAGACCAAGCTATAAACACAGCTTGGAGCCTAGAAGACAACAAAAATGCACTACCCATATCTCACATTTGTAGTCCCTACCTATGAATTTAATAGAGAAATATTTAATAGAGAAAATATATAACGACATCTCTTTGAATTCTCGTTAATTTCCAATTCAGCATCATCCCTACTTGCAGAAGGTCTCTGTGGAGGAGGGCATTGTGCAGTACAATCAAAGACACAGTTTGGTCTAGCAAATAGGAATTGGGCATTCAGTCTTTACATGCCTGAAGATCTGGTTGAATTGGTTCCTTTGTAAAATAGGAAAAAAAACCCCCCACAAAACCAAAACCAAAACCAAACAAAACAAAAAACCCAAACAAACAAACAAACAAACAAAAAAGCAACAAAAAAACACCAAATTATTTTATTCAGTAGAGGGCAAGACCTCTATAGACAGATCAGAAAATCCCTGAAGAGGTCAAATTCACACAGCTACTGGGAGAAACAATCTGACCTAAAACTTTCTGAAAAGGACACATCAACTCACATGGAGTAACACAGGTTTTTCTTTAGATGTTTTTATGTGTCTGTGTTCAATTTAAGGTACAACACTGAGAATCGGGGGTCCAGGACATACTCTTCAAACAGATTAGAGATTAATGTATTGCCACCAAGATACAGGCATAGATGTCCATTTCCTTTTAGGAATATGCTCACAGTGCCTTTCCAATAAAACTTTTGAATGTATTAAAAATTTATGCATTGTGTACATGAAAATATCAGATGATTTTGATAATTTCTGTTAGACGTATCAGTTTATTTAAGGAGATTTTTAGGTCATATTTTTGTAAAGTAACTTGTATAAATTACTTTTTTCTGCTTTTTGCAACAGTTTAGGTAGTAAGTGACCATATTTTTAAAATTAACAAAAGGATTTGACTTTTTTTCCCCCTCAAAATCACAACAGAATAGCATACTCTGGAAATACACATGAACATGAGTATATTTTTATATTTATTTCTCACTGATGGTATCTGATTTATTCTCTGTTGTTCTTTGAAAGATAAATTACAGGCCAAAATCTTCTATTCCTAAGAATTTCAGCAAACTAAAATTTTACCTTGCATAAATGCTCTGGAAAAGACAGACATGAAAGTAAAGAGAATTACCAGAGCCCAAGATGGACCTATTTCAGGTTTTCATTTTGTTTACAGGATTTTCTTTCTGGTTTGCACTGACATCACTTTAACTACTTGTATATAGAAAGGAAGACTGCAAGAAGATTGTGTACAGCTTTGAATTCATATATAGTACCAAAGACCTGTAATACTTGATGTGAGCAAGCATGAAGAATTGCATTTAAAATTCTACTTTGCAGACTTGACCTCCATTTTCTCTGCTTTTTGGTTGATGTTTTGCTCAAATTCAAGTCTTCATGAACCCTGGGAACACAATTGTGACGTATATACTGGTATCAGTGAGTGAGTCACTAAAAACATACTACTTATGACTTTTAAACCCAGATTATACAGATGAGAAGACAAACTGGGTAAATCATGAGCCTAGAAATTAAGAAACTGATTTAATGTTTGAATTCTGCATGTAAGATATAGGAAAATTAATTAGCTTCATTAATTTATTTTTTTTATCAACTTAATTAATTAATCTACCTAATTTTCCCTTGTTTTACCTGTCTATAAAACAGTGACCATGCTGCTTCCTTTTTTTGCTTGATTACCATCATTTGTCAGCATCTTAATGGTTCAAAGCTATTACAACAGTAGAAAACGTAACATTCTTTGAATAATGGACTTGTGAAAATCCAAGGTATCTGAGAAAATAAATACTGACTATTGAGGAGAACTGCTGATTCCTTAATCCCAGTTATGGTATATAGGAGAAGATCAACTCCATCTTGAGATTTAAGGTGAGGTTTCTTTAAGATTCTCAAAATTTGGGTCTAGACATAAGTGAGTTGGGAAGATGGTTTGGATGGGAAGTATTACTTCATTTTTATCTTTAAATTATGAGGATAGAAAACAGAAGTAAGTTCTTATGCGTTTTATCTGTCTCCTCTTTAGTAAAATGGAAAAAACACTTCCATACTTAGGCAGCATATGGAGGAATTTTGCACACGGGACTGTGATTTTTTTATGCCACTATGCTCTTATAGCAGCTCTTGGTGCAGTTTTGGCCTGGGGCAACCAGTGGTCTTATAGACAATTCACATGCATGTGATGGGAATTAGTAAGGGCAGGGACTACTTTTAAAGGATTGATTTACATTTGGAGGGACTCTGGAAGGTAAGAAGGCATAGAAATCAGCTACTTCATGCCAGCTGGCCTTTGTGCTTGACATGAATGAGTGCCATGTTTAATTTATCAATTTGAATAGGTTCTGTGGCATCAAAAATGTTCAGAAACAGCAACCATGCAGACTACTAGGGTGTTGATTTATTCTAATTATTAAGAAACAGAACAACAAGCTAAAATGAAATATAGTCATGTAATGAAAAGAGGTACAGCGGAATTGGGAAGCAAAATGGGGGAAAACAACATAGTCTGAAACCTCCTCCACCTGCTCAAGCACTTTGTTCTATATAAAACCTGAACTTTATATCTATTAATGGGTTAGGGATGTTCTAGGGATTCAGCTGCCTTCTCAGCATGTCTGCAGAATAATCATCCATCTCCTGCTTAAAAACATCTCCATTCAGGGACAATTCAAGAAAAGTTAGTTTGGCCATTAGAATGTGCCTAAAAAGTGTGAGAGGTGTTTTTGTTGCTATTCTCTCACAATGAGAAAACAAAATTTTAGCAATGGCATGTTTAAATAACATTACTAGTTATGAGTCTACTTATTTATTCTTATTTTATAAAGATATACTAGATATACACGTCTTTATAGAGAGATAAAGTCACCAGGAAGTGAAAATACTTCAATAACAATACTGTCTGTTCTTTTCTGAAGAAAGTTTATGCAGCTAATTTCAATACTGGGCCACCTCTTTACATAGCCATGTATATGTCAAGGCTCTTCAAGTGTATTTTTCCTGTGATAAGGGATGACAGTCTCAGTTTCTATGTCAGCACTGGACAGCAATTTTTTATATCAATATTTCTTCAAATATAGCAATTCCCCCTCAATCTTTTTCAATTTCTTTTTCTCTCTAACCATTACTTTTTGCTTTTGTGTGGTGTGTCATCCCTCAATCCTCTACCCTTATTGTATGCTCTTAGTCATACAATTGCACACAATGTTTTGACAGTTGCTATAGCTCAAATCCTCCCAAATTTTGCCAGTTACTAGTATAGTAGAGATATGGCAATTATTACCATTATAGGTAACAGTCAGTATATAAATATTTTGGGATATGCTGCAAAAAAGCCCAGATATGTTTTAGGTGCAGATTCTTAGCATAGCAATTGGTAAAATTTAGGTTATCAAAATATATACTATTTGCTACAGGTCTGCTTAAATGTCATACTATTATAAATATGTATCCATGGACAAATAAATTTCAGGGGTTTAGACATCTTTAATTACTCTTGGGAATAATAAACAGATTTAAATCAAGTTTACTAAAACTGTTTCCCTTGCTGCAAGAAAAGAAAATTCACAAATCTCAAATGTCCTTTGCCCACTACTGAGTCTACATAGTTAAGCTTTACTGAAACATGGACCATGATGATACCTTCTTTCTGCATCTGCCTGCCTTTCAGTTTCTCTGGAAACAAATTACAGTTCTGTTAATTATTCTGTGAATATACACCTGCACATGTATCTCCATGGAATCAACCACTTCTGACAGTTTAGGCTTCTCTGGTAGTGTATGTCTTTTCCAGTCTTGGAATAAAATTCAAGTGTTCATTTGGCTGGTGTTGTTTTTATATTTTCAGGTTCCAAGTAGTGAGCCCATGGTTCGAGATAACTACAACTGAGAATTCAGGGTTTTTTTTTTTTTTTTTTTTTTTTTTTTTTAAATCTGAAATAATATATACCATCTCTGCTTCCCAAATCTCCCTCTTCCTGTTAGTAGCAGGTATTAACTTTTGAAGACTCAGCCAAGAAATACATTGAGGAAAACATGTTATTTGCTGCAGAAACTTGCCTTTTCTGACACATAAACAGCATAGAATTAATAAGAAATACCTCTTTACATCCTGTTGATGTCAACAGAATGAATTCTTTGGCCTTTCCACAACTGCTAAGTGACCAAAATACTTGTATTCTAAGCATGAGATACACCTCGGAGAGTTAGTTTGACAAGAACATCAATGAGAAATGCCACACATGTGGATGGCAATGAAGAAAGTTGCAGGTACATAATGCAGTGGAAGAAAGGACTTCTTATTAAAAAAAAAGCTATGAAGAAGACACAAAGACAAGAAATGAAATTATCCCACCACAAATCACATAGGAAAAATAAAAGAAGGGGTTAGGCATAAAATTTTGGGCAGAGAGAAGAGATAAGAGCAGAGATGCACCACACAGATTCATTTAGGGCATTGAATCTTTACTTAATTTTAGACTTTTTTATGTGAGTATCAAATGACTCTTTACATTTTTCTGCCTTCAAAAAGCATATTGACAGACCTGTTATTTGACTAACGTAATTTCATATTAAGTGACTTACAAAGTCAGAAACCAGAACTGGAAGGCACACATACAGCTCCTCATGCTCTCCATGCTGACAAAAAGCTTTTCAGCTTCTAAGGGAACTGCGGTTACTGCAAGCAAAATCTTACTAAACAGGACTGATCACATTTATCCTTATGAGTCTGGGAAAATTATATTCATTGAACCTTCTTAAATAAACACTTGGCAATTCAAGTAGTCTTCACATTATATTTATACCTGAGCATTATATTCTGAGAAAAATACCATATTAGATATTAATTCCATTTGTGTCATACTTACTAACTTTACTTGCAATTATAGAGAAATTGTATTGTGCTGTGCTTTCTCTGTCCAGTAATTCATTAGTAGCAATGGTTCCCTCAGTAGCATCTATTGTAAAGTAGCTGTCCACATCATTCTTCCAATCCATGAAGTATCTGTATGTGAAAAATATTAAAGAAAGTAGATGCAAATGTGCAAAGATTACTCATTTATCATAGCAGCAGTGTACCTGCCTCAAGTTTTGTTATTTTTCCCTTCGCAGCTATTATCATCCTTGCAGGAAGAAGACAATAAAGAATGATTTGTTTATTTCTTTTTTTTTTTGCCGGATGGAATGCTCAAGGGGAAATGGGATATAATAAAAGGTTTAAGACTCCTGGTGTTCAGATTATTTGAAAACCTTGAAGTCCCAAGAATTTGATGCACATCTTCTGTGACCCTGATTACTTATATCAGCCAGTTGGAAGCACTATATAGGCTTAGAGGGAAAAAGAGAAAAGGGATGTGAAACAGGGCTTGAGGTGATGAATGGTGATGGGAGTGTGCCAGATCTGGTCTCTTTACACCCATTTGTAGCTGCAGTGGGCTGGACACAGCCTCACAAAGAGGGGTCCTAAAGGAATTTGGCAGAGTAACAGCAAGGGAGATGGAGAAGACTATGCTTATTCCCATACATATATAGGATCAATAAATAACACTTTGTGAAGAATAGGTACCTTTCACTGGACCTGTGAGGAACAGAGAAATACTATTATTTTATGTTGTTTTGTTTTATTTTGTTTTGTTTTCTTGAGCCCTTATTTGTCAAGAAGTATGAACATAGAACAGATTTAAAACCAGAAACATTTACTTATTTCTTATTTTTCTCTAGCGAGGAATAGAAAGCAGGTATGTACCTGGTAACACAGATGCTTAAAAGCAATGTGATAACTATTCCAAACCCATTTCCCTTAAATGCTAATTAATTTGAAAGTCTATTTTCACATTTGATGCTACAGTTTGTAGTCACAACAGAATAATATTTTTTCTGATGCAATTGCCTCTAGCTACTAATTTCCTTTTCATTGTTAGTCTCTTCATACCTTGATAGTGTTTCTCAAAAACTAGGCAGGATGAAATTGAGAAAGCCATTTGTGAGCAGTAGGCAATAAGAACAAAATGGCACTCAACAAGTACATTCAGAAGATTATAAAGCCTAGAGGACCACTCCTCTGACATCTCATTTCATGCAAACCAGTGAGAATAGGAATAAAAGCTGCTTTTTCCATCTCTAATTAGAGTTATTTATGTATTTAATATAGAGGGGATGGAATGATAAGCACTGTGTTTGCTTCTGTAGAAGGAAGAAACAGTAGAAAGGAATACGTCATATTCACAAAGAAAATATTTCTACTTGGTACTAAGAATGCCAATAGCTCTGGAAGACTTGAAGAGTAAAAAAGCCACAAATAAGGCGATGTGCTTGTTTGGAGACATTTTGTTCAATCAAAATCTCAAAAAAATTCCTATATGTAGATGAAGTAGGTTATTTCATCGATTGACAGGCATCATTACCGGTTTACAGCTTTAACTGAAAAGCCACAGAAATGGTTTGCTAAAGGCAGCATGTATCCTTTTACATAGTTGAGCAAGCACATTTTCTTGAATATGATATTATTATCTACCCATATTGGTAATTTCAATCTCTTTGTTCAAAATTTGCTTGACATTAAAATTATGAAAAATATATAAACCATTTATTAGAAACATCATTACCCTAAGATACTCTCTCAGGAGCAGCAAAATTACTCTGTCAGGCTTTGCATCTTTAATAAATTATAATTTCTTCCAAAATTAAATATGCAGCAACACACAAATAAATGAGTTCAAAGCATGAGAAAGTAACTTGGCTTTTATTTCCCCTTAGGAAGATTAACTTTGCCTGAGTACCCTGCACATTGCAGTATGAGCCAGGGAAGAAAAATTCAAAGCACCATGTAGGGGATGGCCTCCTTCACTGGAGGCTTTGAAAGTACAGAAAACATATTAAGTATGAACGCTGTTGTGTTTGAAATGAAGTTCAGGCATGAATATTTGTAGGATCAGAATCTGAAGAATCAGAATCAGTCTGGAAGCATTCACACAGGTAATAATTTCATGCACAGGCCCAGTATGCCTATTCCTAAATATAAGCATCAACAGGATCAAAGTTCACAGCAAGCACTGCAAGACTATTGCTACTCCTGCTGGTACTTCTGGCAGAATTCCTCATGGCTTCTGTGGAAATGGGAATTGAGTTAAATTAAGCATGTTGTTTCAACTCCTCTTATTTTAAGAATCTACATATCCAATTAAACTACCAAAGGGAGAGGTATAGGCAGAATTATTGGAGATGTATTGTCTAAAAGAGATAAATTAACAGGAAAACCTGCAAATGACCATCCATTCTTCCTCCTTTGATTGGTTCTCCACGTATAGTACCCAAGAAAACATTCCTAGCAGAAAATCCTCTTACAGGTAGATCTTCTGGACACAGAATTTCTCCCAGATACATCAGTAAGCCTATAAAGCTTAAGAAAAGTAGGAATAGGACCCCATCTGTCTGGTCTTGAAATGGAAATTTTTTTGGGACACCCCAAGGGGAGGTCACTTTTGGCAAAGACCCTAAGAAAATGTAGTTTCTTTTCACAGGCAGAAATCACTCTTTCACACATTGATGCTCAGTGTGTGATTTTTTTGTAAATAGGACAGCAACAGCTAACCTCTTTCTAAGGCCAGCTGCATAGCCTGAGCTCTGTCCTTAACATGGAAGAGATGGTTTGAAGAAGAGAAGAAATGGAAAAAATGTCTCCAACCAGAAAAATCAGTAACTTTCCAGAGATAAACCCAGATATCTGGGACATAAAGCCTGACATTTCTTGTGAGATTAGGATACACAGAGGAACACTGTTGAAATACTGGTATTAGGACAGCTGTCTAGATCTTCCAGTCATGGTCTAGCAGTTTGAAACAACTGAGGTTGGTTTATTTGACTGCTCAGAGTGCCTGCAAGACTGACCATGGATAAGTGCACTAATCCTAAGAGGCATTTCCTTCCTTGAAAAGCTAGGGAGAACTTGTTGATATAGGACAAAGCAGAATTATTTTCAGAAGTCCCTGAACAGGCCTGCCTTGCAGGTCTCAGTACCAGATAATCATATTCACTGTCAGTGAAGAAATTTTGACATGTATGTCTCTCTGAATATTCCTTCCAGCAGAAAAGTGTTTTCCAGGTGATATTGTTGAAGGCAAGGAGTGTGTGGAAGGACATATCTTTGCTAACACTGTCTAGAGTTTTCTCAAGAACAGCTGCATTTGGACATCATGTAGGATAGAAGAGATAGAATGGAACTATTAGGTTTAAAAAATTATAAGATTCAAGCCTATAAGGCTCACCCAGAGTCCACAATGACCTCTTAGGAGCACCAAGAGCTATGGACACTCACCCTGGCTAGACAGAGAGACTACATGTCCCTCACAAGCTCTCACAGAACACTTCCACAGAAGAGGGCTCACCTCCTTTCAGAGAGAGAAGGACAACAAGGAAGACCGAGCTGACTCCTGCTGCAGCACAGAAGATGGCAGTGCTTGATGGAGTGCTATTGAATACATGAGTGACAGCAGGTCATCCCTGTGAGGATAACAGTGACTCTGAGCCATTGAGCAGACAACTGTAGTGCCTTCAGACTGTTGTGCCATGAATAAAAGAACCAGACAGCTGTCCTGCGCTGCTGGAGAAACCCGTGTGACAACTTGCTCTGAAGGGATGGGAGGTGGCAGGATGCTAAGGAGGCTGTGAAGCCTAGGACTTGGGATGTATTTTTTGCTCTTAAAATGTGGAGGGGAAGATTTCTCCTGCCTATAACAGAAAATGTTTGTTCTTGATATTATGGTCATGTAATGTAAGCCAGGAAAAGAGCAAGGTAAGACATGTAAAAGTGTGTGTACTTTAGAGGAAAAGAAGACTGCTTTAAAGCTGTGCTGGGAGGATTAAGGCCAAATGACAGAGGTAAAACTCAAGGATTGACCTTAAAGAGTGCTAAAGCACAGACAATAGATAAAGTGAAAGATAAAAAAGGTAGTGGCAATATAAGATCAGCACAACCAAAATTAGGCATTTGAAGGTTAATGGCTTCTGATCATTATGCCTTTGTGCTCAAAAAACATTTCTTTAAAAATAAAATTCCTATTGTTGGTTTTTTTTTTTGTTTTTTTTTTTGAGAGGGAGAAATAACCAGGTGATAGAGGAGCTTTACAAAAATAACCTTAATTTGTCTCAACTCACACTTTGCTGATGTAAAGCACATTGCTTACTCTAGTACCTAGTGACTTACAACACAGGCTATTTTTAAGAAAAATATTACAAAGAAAGGTAAGGGATGAAATAACAATTCTGTAATGTGAGACATTACTAGTTGTGTATATGACCTTAAGTTGTTTAAACCGCATTCACTTTAAGTTTTATTTAAATATTAAACTGCAACTAAATGAATTTCTGTGTCTATGACAACTTAAGATATATAAATACCACCCATTATATCAGAAATAATAAGCAGTGGCCTAAAAACATTAGGAACATAAATGAAAGCTAAGAGAATTCAGTTAGGTATTGTGATTGGTTACAATTTTTTTGTAATTCCAATACATATACAATTAAATAGATGAAAGAAGCGTTAAAGCAGGAATGGCAACAGGGATAAGGGATTGGAAGAATATAAATGAGATTCTAGGTGTGATGAGACTACCTGAAAACCCAAAAGAATTTTCATTAGTAGAATAATCATGTGCTGTGGGTTGAAATTATTAGATCTCTGCATGTAACTGTACGTTGAGAATATGACACCTCTACAGTACAATTCTGTCCTAGTCATTAAGTCAATAGATAAATATAAAAAAATAGTGAAAGCTTACAGAAAAGCAAGAAAAACTGTCTTGGGGCTAAAAATTTCCAAGTTATAAGGAAAGATTAAAAGAACTAACATATGCTCAGCATGGATAAGAGACAAAAAAAGGGAGACAGGGATAACAGCCTACAGATAACTGAAGAGCTTCAACAGCAAAAAGGGGAGGGTAGGATTTTTTTTTTCAACACAGAGAAGTGAAGGACCAAAACTCAGAAGGGAAAGTTTATGTGTTG